AAAAAAAATCATAGATAGAGCCTTATGACCCACTGTAGAATGATGCCAAATAATACATCAACGACGAAGTTTATCGGCAGATAAACGTGTTTCCATTCTCGGCTGACTGAGGAATGGTTTGAGAGAGCATTTAAAGAAGAGGCGGGCGAACCAATAGTGAGTAGGAAGTGTGCTGCAATCAAGACGAACAATACCGATCATAAGTGGACAACTAATAACCCCTAATTAAGCCCGGGTTACGCACTGCTGTGTTGACTCCTTGCTGGGGAGCGGTAGCGGCCTCCTACTGCTGTTAGTAATCACGCATTGTCTTCTAACTTGCGGCTTAGTTGACTCCTTGCTGGGAAGGGCTAGCGGCCTCCTACTGCTGTGCGTAACACACATTGTCTTCTAACATGCGGCTACACGTCGGTTGCATTGTATTAATAAAGTAATACCTATTCATAAGGAAGGGGGCGGATGGTAATCTGACGAGTATTAAATCAGTTATCGATTAAACGCGTACCAGTAGTCTTGTTTTTTATTGGCTATACGGTATATATATTCTATATTTAGATCTAACAGGACCAGGTGCCTTTTTATTCTCTTCATCTAAAGAATCATGCAAAGAATCATTATAATGTTACAGTAAAAAAATTAAAGTAACAAAAATTGTAAATGGAATGAAATAAATGTTTTTTGCAACTAATCTTATTACAAATAGTTGTCAAAATTTGAATGTATAGGAAGGTAATCATTTCATTTATGCTGTTAAAATGAGTCAACATAGCCAACAGGGATTACAGCTTTTTTAAACTCCTAAATTCCTGTTGGCTGTGTTCATGGCGGTCATCATTTTGCTCCAAAAGTTGTCTTTCCTATGTTTAGGGTAAAATTTACTGACGGCGTTTCTTATGAACTCCACTCTAACAACTTCCATCAGCGCGTTTGTCTTGGCCTTTGGATGATCCTTCAATACTCCTTGTCGGGTCTATTCTTTCAGTAGTAGTAAAAAGGCTGGCTATTACCTTTACCCAGAAGGAATTGGAGTAGAGCGGGGGTTGGAAGACATTGAAGTGGGCAGGGGTTGGACCATGTTGTGTGTGGGGCGAGGGTAGAAATGGGGCTGGGGCAGGCCTTGGGCTCTACTATTTTGTCCTTCATGAGTTCTTGTATGTCGTCCATTTTCTTGTTTAATTCCTCAAGTTTGTCCATAATTTTAACGAGTGCCCCTCTACAATTGCACTGCAACATCTAGGGACAGCAAGGGTCCAGGCTGAATATTAAGATTATAAACAAGAAATGTAACTTTCATGTATCAACTGCAGTCTGTTGCTTTCAAATGTAATTAACATGGCAGCAAAATTACCAGTTTTTGTCTGCAGGCATCTTTTCTTTGTTTACACTTCTGCTGTTTCATACTTTCCAATTTGAAGTTGATCTGCCTTCTGAAACACTTGCCTCACCATTTTGGTGAAGTCCAAACCTGCGCGAATGAAAACTATCAGATTGGTAACACCGTCACTGAAATATGACAAGACCAGATACAAACCAAGTGTCATGGCACTGGGAACTTGGTACTGGTCTTTAAGAACAAAACTCCATACAGTAGTGTGAAACAACTTATTCTGATTCTGTGTCAAGCCACAAAGACACCCATCCAACAATTTAGGATCTGACAGTTCGTCTCTCAGAGGTTGAATAACTCAGAGCAGGAGGGAAAGGTTTTTCTATTTCTTAATACGTGTCTGTTCCACATACTTGGTCCACTTTGTACTTGCATCAGCTGTCTGCACCTATTATGATTGAACCAAAAATTGAAGTAAAAGTGTTAAATATAAAGGCAAATGTTATTTATTATTATGTGTAAGTGTTGAATAATTTCATCATTTGACGAGTGTTCATATTAGAAATCTGGATTTACTTTATCAAGTGCAAAATATGATTGGTACAAATTTTTTCTATCTTTTAAAGAAAAGTGTACTCTGAAGTTCCAAATAATAGTACCAGTATGATTATTATTATTATTATTTTTTTTTTTTAGATATTCTCCACACGGTACCGTGTCTTTCTCGACGGTACGATTATTAATTTTGAAAAAAAATTCCACACGGTACAATTGTTTAGCACCTAACGTACAGAATGTTCTGTCTTACCATCTGGACGGAAACTACAATCAGGTGGATCCGCATAGTGCCTGGAAATGGCCTTTGTTTCTTTCACCATGCCCTCCAAATTCCCTTCATAGATGAGTCGATCCTGCTAGATGGATCTAGATGGGTCTTAGAAATGTCTTCCATACCAAAACAAACCAGACATCTTCATGACCAAGACTAGTGGTTGACTGGACTGTTTTATTTTTTTCCAGCACTGTATGACATGGTGGCTTCTAGGCAGCAGCTGGCTACATGGGCATGGCTTTTAATAATAAAGAACAGACAGTTAAAGACCAGCGAGAACATCCCTAACCTTCATCTCATCCAGATATGTAACACATGGGATGTGGCAAGTTTTAGGACAAGTGGGATTTACACAGCCAGAGATGGGAAGGTAATAAAATGGTAAGCAGTACATTATTACAATAATATGTCAAACAATTTTTAAGGGTACTCAATTGGAACCAATAAATTAAATTTTGAAACATTTGTTTCTTGACTCCAATGTTTTGAAAAATAGGTGTATGATATGATATGATAAATGGTATTTGTATATTGTCTTTTTCCAGGACTTCAGCCTACTTCAAGGAGCCCCATGTCCAGCATGGCTTGATTGTCTTCTAAACGGAGGAGGAAGTTACATGTGGACAATTCTTCAAATATTCAGATAGTTTATCATTTAAATAGACAAAAACCTTGTGTTGGCAATATAAATTTCAATCTTTTGTTTCAAATTGTCAGTAAATAATTGAATTGAGTTGTTTTTGTAGAACACAGACAGTGTAGGTTGCTCTCTAAGGGTCCATTCCCAATGAAACTACTGTTCTATGTAGATAGATCCAACTCCACGGGGACTCACGCTGAATGCAATCAGATAAACATGCCTCCTGGCATTGAGTAAAATACAGATAAAAAGCTGTTGATTATATAAGTACCAGTATGTGAAAACAAGAGGAGGTGTGTTAATATGATTGCATTCAGTCAGAGTCCCTGCAAAGTTGGATCGATCTACATAGAATGACAGTTCCATTGGGAATGTGCCCTAAATAATAATAATGGGCAAGTCTACTTTAGGTTGCGTTTGTTTTTGGAAAAAGTTGCTAACTGCTGCTTCTTTAATGTAGAATTTTTTTGTTGAGGTTAGATTAAGAGCTACTTACTTTGAGAACAAATTATTAATGCATTACATTCATTTTATGCCAACAAGTATTCTAATGGGGCACTACACAATTTCCTTTTCAGCTGGCAGAAGAAAGGGATTAGAGTTCTCAAATGTTTCGAATTTCATCACTGGACTGATGGACATTCAGTTTCTGGGATTTCAGCACCAACCAAAAGTCACATTCTCTTTTACTGCGAACGCTTTTTTGCATGCGCACAGAAACTACGTATTGTGTGCACGCACATTGAACTTACGATTGCCCTTGAAAGAAACACCACAAGAACAACTATTTGATTTGTGGTACTTAGCTTTTCTGTCATCACACATATTTATATGTTATAGAAATGTCACACACTGAGTGTGTTGTTAGTGTAGTTTATCTGTTAGAATTGGATGGAGATTATTATCATGTTTTTATTCACTTTTATTCACCTTCATTTGTTGTGTGTGTGAGTGTGTGTAGTAAATTAAGAACTTCCAAATGGCAAAGGAAACAGTGAAGGTTTTGAAAGCCAGCTTGGCATACGTACACTGTGCATGATGTCAGTCTGTAAACACTGACAAGTTGAGAAGGTTTTTTTTTCGATATTTCCTGAAATATTCCTGATTATATACCAGGGTACATAAAAAGCATATTTTAAGAGTTCATATAATACTCAGTAAAAAGAAAAAATATAGTGAAAATTATGTATGAGATTTAGTTACCACTTTGTTCACCTGGATGATTTGAGTAGAATGAGACTGTTCTGTCTTAAATGTCATGGAACACAATACTGCAGTACATTGACAACAGGCAATCTAAGGGTGTTTTAAGTGTGTGCCATATTGGATCTGCAGCTAAGTTCTGAAAACCAAGAAAATGGAACCAAGGTCCTCTTCCATTATTCCATGCACCATTATTCAGGCAAAATGCCTGCTTTGAGTTCAAAGATCCAAGTTTGTATATGATGTGAAGTAAAAATTTAAATACCAAATAAATATTCTAGATATTTCAATAATGTGTTTTTATTTGTTCCTTTTATGGATTACATTTTTATTATAAATAAAAACATTTTATTCAGAAAACTCACTCATGTCTAATGAAATGCAGATAGAGAAATGTTTGCTTTCAGAAAAATTGATAAGATGGTAGTATTTTTTTATTTGAAAAATAACATGTTAAAGCATATATGCATCTGATTTAAGGTTGCCTCTAAGTTCTGTTTAAGCGCATAAGTGAGCTTTTTTAAATTTTATAATTATAGCCAATCCTTACAGTTTTTGTTTTTTTCATTCTGTTCCTTTTCTTTTATTCAGTGAAGTACTCAATAAATGTATAAATGCCTCAAATAGATCATTTAAGAACCGCGTATCTTCTTTCCCGGGATGGGGAGGGTGGGGGGGGGGGGATACTACAGTCGGTATAAACCAAACTATATTATGTTTTACTTTGAATTAACTGAGTGTCCCTGTTTGGTAAAAAGTAAGATTAATTTCTAAATTGAATTTTTGTTAATATTGTTCCAATGTTGTTTTATTCAGAGTTGTTTATAAAGTTGCATAAAATCACAAAATGGACATACTCCTTACCTTTAATAACAAAAAACTTCTTTAATCGAGGCTTCCGTACGAACAGAGGGTGGGCTATAATATACTGTAAGGGTGCATTCCCAGAGATTTAGATCGATCCAGAGATTTCGACTTAGATCGACCTAACTCCCAGGGGGTTCATATTAAAATTGCAGTCAGCCGAGCTCTCACCATAGTCAATTACCCCCTTACAGCTTTTAGTAGGCGGGACAGACGCTTAAGCCGGCTAAGCTGACAGTAATCTAGTGAGACTCCCCACAGTGATAGATCGATCTAAAATCTATTTGAATGGGTTCTAAATTACACGAACGTGTTTTGGGTGTTCAGTTTGGACCAAGGTCAATGAAAGAAGCTTATGCCACAGTGCTGCTATTTCCACAATCAGCCCTCATATTTAACGCTGACAACGACAGCATTCTGTTGTAAGTACAGTGCAGACGAAGTTTTATAGCTCATTACTATTGAAAATATCGGTCTACACGCTTCCTCTTGTTCCAACGTACTCGTATAATCACCAATCTTATACATGTATATTCTTTCCAACTCCAGGAGGAGGCGTGTTGATCTGTTCATGTAAGTTAATCTATAATTCCATAGTCTATTAAATTGATGACATTCAAAGAGAGTTGGATCGATATACGTAGACCGATATTTACAATGGGAATGAGCCCATAGTTTCATTGGCCATGGGAACATTATTAGTTTCCGAGGAGAACGATACCTTCTCTTAAAAGTCGACAATCAATCCGGAGTTTAGTTTGTTATCAGTAATTATTACAGAGGAAAAGTATCTGCAAAATAAAAAGCAAGAGCCCTAAGGATCAACCGAAGGATCCTAGTTTTAATATAAATAAATCTGCCGTAGATTCAAGTCTCGCTCGGTACTCCAAGCACTATCGGTATCGGCTTTATCAAACGTTTTCCGGGTCAGTTCGAAAATTCAGAAAATGAAAAATGAAAATCTAAATGAAAAATCTAGGAACGGAGATCCCGTGTTTGGTGTAAAATGATTTCCCCTTATTTGAAGGCCCAAGAAGGTCAATGACACATGTAAAAATATACGTTTACTTCAAGAAAAATACACGAAATAAAATCAATGAAACCTTGTTGTTTTTGTTGCTTCATTTATATGCATATAAACTGTCTATCGGAAAAAACATCGTAAAATATTAAAATAACATGAAATAAAGCAAACGTTTATTATTTCTATAATCTAGTATATTTCAATATCTATTTATCCATGTCATTTCTTGATGTAAACTATATAGGACATGCGTTACTGAAATGTTACTTATTACTACACGTAAAGACTTGCATTACTTGGGAGCCTTCGTCCTGCGGACATTGAATCCTAGTAACGTATGTCCTAGGACTTCCATTCCTAGCAATGCATGCCTTAGGACTTGCATCCTAGGACTGAGTGTCCGGGCGGACTTGCGTTACTAGGACGTGCACTCCTGCCACACCGGTATATGATTTTTTTCCTTTTGCTATTTACGAGTGTAATTACTATCAAATATGCACATATGAGATATGCAAATGTAAGATTCGCTTAGCTCATCTTCTTTTATCCCGTATTTGACTTAAAAACAGGTGTAACAGAAATGGAAGTCATAGGAATGGACGTCTGGGTTCCCATATGATTTGTACAGGTTAGGGTTAGTTGTTGTATTGGGGTTAGTATATGGGACGAATGTCATCTGTACTAAGTAATGGGAAGCGGACTACGGTTCCTTAGACCCCATTCCCAGAGATTAGATCGATCCAAACTAGATCGACCTAACTCCCTGGGGGTTCACGCTAAATAGCTGTCAGCCGAGTGGGCACGAAAGTTAATTACCCCCCTACAGCTTGTAGTAGGCGGGACGGACATTTAAGCCGGATTATCTGACAGTAATCTAGTGAGGGATAGATCGATCTAAAATCTATGGGAATACGCCCTTACTTCTATGGTAGGAGATAAGCTCTAATAATCATTAACATTGACAGTAACTAGAGAACGTCACTAGGATGTTTTTTTTTTTTTTTTTTTTTTTTTTTTTTTTTTTTTTTTTTTTTTTTTTTTTTTTTTTTTTTTTTTTTTTTTTTTTTTTTTTTTTTTTTTTTTTTTTTTTTTTTTTTTTTTTTTTTTTTTTTTTTTTTTTTTTTTTTTTTTTTTTTTTTTTTTTTTTTTTTTTTTTTTTTTTTTTTTTTTTTTTTTTTTTTTTTTTTTTTTTTTTTTTTTTTTTTTTTTTTTTTTTTTTTTTTTTTTTTTTTTTTTTTTTTTTTTTTTTTTTTTTTTTTTTTTTTTTTTTTTTTTTTTTTTTTTTTTTTTTTTTTTTTTTTTTTTTTTTTTTTTTTTTTTTTTTTTTTTTTTTTTTTTTTTTTTTTTTTTTTTTTTTTTTTTTTTTTTTTTTTTTTTTTTTTTTTTTTTTTTTTTTTTTTTTTTTTTTTTTTTTTTTTTTTTTTTTTTTTTTTTTTTTTTTTTTTTTTTTTTTTTTTTTTTTTTTTTTTTTTTTTTTTTTTTTTTTTTTTTTTTTTTTTTTTTTTTTTTTTTTTTTTTTTTTTTTTTTTTTTTTTTTTTTTTTTTTTTTTTTTTTTTTTTTTTTTTTTTTTTTTTTTTTTTTTTTTTTTTTTTTTTTTTTTTTTTTTTTTTTTTTTTTTTTTTTTTTTTTTTTTTTTTTTTTTTTTTTTTTTTTTTTTTTTTTTTTTTTTTTTTTTTTTTTTTTTTTTTTTTTTTTTTTTTTTTTTTTTTTTTTTTTTTTTTTTTTTTTTTTTTTTTTTTTTTTTTTTTTTTTTTTTTTTTTTTTTTTTTTTTTTTTTTTTTTTTTTTTTTTTTTTTTTTTAGATAAGACCGTATCCGGGTGACGTTAACCCGCTACATAACGGAAATTATAGCGGATTAACGTCACCCGGATACTAACCCGCTATAACAGAAATTATAGACGCTGCTATTTAACAAGCTAACGTTGATTGGGGCCACAAATAGGTTTTTGCAACATCAAGGATCTACTACTTGGATATTGTTCTCCCAAACATTGGTATTTCTCGGTTCGCGACGGCAGAAAAAATGAATCTACGCGTTTTCTGTGTTTTGATTATGGTCTACATTTTGAGCGCCGTCATTCACGGGGAGACGTCCTCTCCAGAATATATTTCGCAGATGCAACTCTTGTATCGCACCAACTTACAAATAGAATATGTAGAGAGGGCAATGAGACGTCATTGTCCGGCACTGATAGTAGAGCTGGGTTCTCTGGGAGTGCCACTTAGCCTCCTTAGGAAAAGAAGAACAGCAATGGACCTGGACCAAGTCAGATTGAATGTGGAATTGGCCAAGCACGTGCTGTCAACGCTTAAACTGAAGTATCTGTCCCCGGGGTGTCAGGTAAGTAAAAAAATCTGGAAACTCCAGCGATTTCATCAGCCTGCGTCTGTCGTTTCCAGTTTCAGAGATATTTGGCAGTCGAACTTTCCGTTTGCACGTAGACGTGTTAATATTATTTATGATCAATGCAGCTATATTTTAACATTCTTAATTAGAATGCTGAAAGAAGAGGTTCACGTTTTACGTTGATAGATCATATTGTCACAACATAATGTAGTTCGATTAAGGTTAAGTGGCCTGTTAGCCAAAATCAGATTGAAATATTTTATATAAAACTGGCGAAATGGGCATTATTTTATTAAGTTCCTTCTACCGGTTCATAGAAACTTGGAAGAAACTGAAAATTACATTTCCCTATGCCACTTTGACATGAATGGTTTCCTCAATATCCCTCTCGTGTCATTTAAATTACAATGCATGCTTTTAAACGCTTAAAATTGAACAAAACTTTAAAATGTTTGCATGTCGCTGATTTTTCAGAATTCAAGTTGTTTGAATTCAAGTTGTCAAAACGGGGGTTCATGCATTAAAGGTCCAGGCGATAACGTTTCATGCGCATGCCCGACGGGATATACTGGCGAGAAGTGTGAGATTAGGGCAGCCCCCGTGGCATGTACATCAACCTGGTTATCAACTTGTAAAGAGACGTACGGAACTGGCCGCTGTTCGTGAGTTCAAGATCTCTCTCTCTCTCTCTCTCTCTCTCTCTCTCTCTCGTGCACACGCATTCATACAAACACAAATGCACATTCGCAAACCACTAATTTTTATATCAAAATTTCATATAGTACCTTATCAATGTGTATAGTATAAAGGAACCGTTTCTTGCTTCTTCCCAGATTGGAACCACCTATGTATGCACTGTTTATGTTGAAAAATCTCCCACAAAACTGCTTGTTTGGCATACAAATAAATGTCTGTTTTAACTCTGTGATAATTAAGGCGCAACCCGATTACTTGTTGATACACATACAAGATTGATAAGTCCTGGGAAGGGGGGCATGTGGACGCAAATAAATTGTTTTTTTTTTTGTTTGTTTGTTTGTTTTTTTTCACTGAAACTGATATTAATGCAGATTGAAGAAGAGACGCGTATGCAGTTTGTCTCAGGGTCTAGTGGTGTAAATGTCAGTATTTTGTTCCATTGTGGGGGCAGCTGCATGTGAACAATGTCTGCAGCAGAAATCTATTCTTAGAATTAGAAATTAATCCGTCTTTTGCGTTTGGGTTACATTTGAACACGCTTTACACATGTACATTTAGTTTTGGGCAACACTCGGTCACTAGGCAACTCACCACATTGAAAGCATTTGTCAGAGATTGATCAAAGGCATTAGAAAACAGATGCACATTAACGACAGACATGAAGAAGATAAATGTAATACTGACGAAGGACCTGTAATTGAACGATCCAATTTTAAGGTTGGTACCACCCCCAACTAGAAAGATTGCCATGGACCCTGGTCACGTGGTACTCCATGTCAAGCACCTTTGTGATATCACGCAACTTCTTGTGAACGTACGTGAACAGTCACTCTCTTATTTATGACTTTATCTATTATTTCAGTTTCATCTGTCCGATCGGCTGCATTAATTCAGGCACCGTATGGGGGACAGGGAATTATACAGGGGTAAGTTATGGTTTGAAAAAAGGGGAAAAACGGAAAAGGAATATTTCTGTCTTTTCACTGTCATTATTATCCTCAGGAATTTTATAACACTTGTATTGTCATTAAAACGGATGGATATTCCACATTTTTATACAAATTACCCACAAATCCATGTTTTAGTAATAAGTAATAACAATAAAAAACTGAAACAGGTGGAATAGAATTAGCAATGCCTTAGTTTATCAACACCATTTGAAAAAAAAACAGTCAGTATAACATTTTGGGGTAACAAATAAATCTCCATTTATTTATTTATTTATTTATTTATTTATTTATTTATCTATATTGTCCTATGTTGGCAGGACTCCAGATTGTGCCGAGCTGCCATTCATGACGGCCGTATGCCAGCAGCGGGTGGAGTGGCCACAGTGGTAGGTCTAGGACCCTTACAGTCCTTCAGAGGAACAACACAGAACGGGGTGACGACAGCCAGGTAAAAACCTATCATCAGTACAATTATGCTAGTGCTGCTTGTTTATACTGTACATGCATTTTTTATTATACGTGGGGGTGCATGTTTTGAGTTTTTGATTAATTAGAAGCGTTTATGTATGGGAGTTTTTGGAAGAGGTACGTAAGTGTTGCGATGTTGTGTTAAGTAAGGTACAAGTAGAATATATTTTCAATATTATTTAATCCAGTATTTGTATGATGCATTTTATGAAATGTAGTAGAAAAAATAAAGAGTTAATCATTGCGTTGTTAATAAATAGGAATCTAAGAAGATTTTTTTGTTTGTTTTTTAATGTTTTAAATTTTAAATGGATTGCTTTCTTTTTCAGCTACGGTAGCTATGGAACTTCCTTCCGTTTCGTTTAAACAAAAAGAAAGCGTCAGACAATGAGACTTGTAATACACAAGAATCTCCTTTAGAAGTCTGCATTATTCCATGTTTGATGACGTGACGTCAGTTCTAGGCGATCGATCATGACGTCATAATGAATTATCCCTTTATGAGTACTAACGAACTGCACTACCACGCGTGTCTAAGCTTTGATTCTCTCATTTTTCAATTCTCATTTTTGTTATCATATTCAGAATAAATGCATCAGCTTGTAAGAAGGAGTATGTTTTAATTGTTTTGGCAAAGTCAGAAATGATGTTTTATTCAGCACTTTCTTCTTCTTTTTATTGTTATTTTTTATCAAATTTGCAACCCGATGGTTGGATAAATACATTCTTTGCATCATACATGTAGTTGAATAAAATCACTAGAGAATAAGAAATGAGGAATATTAAAAGACATATGTGAACAATTTTAAAATATAATAACATAATACAAGGTTTAAAATGTATAATAAAGGTCTATCAGTCAATTTTGGAACTTGTATATCGCACTGTTTAAAAAGTCACTCGTTGGTCGTTTTATTTTAATTTTAGGTCTTTTGAATGTCTACGGTTCCCTTAATGAGTATTTGACAATTTGTTTTGGTTGTGAAAGATAATGCAACCTTTGATCCGGTTCATTTGGTATCCTAATAAACAATTTTTGCATGCATTGAGCCGTCTTTAACCCAGTAGTTACAAGCAGCGTCATATTCAAGATCAGGATAATTTATCTAAAGAGCTTTTTCTTGAGATTTTTCATGCAGGCAGTCAATTCATTTGTTAACCAAAGTGCCAGACAGGGGAAGCATATTCTAAAACTGGCCTTATGACAGTCTGGTAAAAGGTTACAAGGTCATCAGTTGTGAGGCCTGCAAGCTTCAGTTGTTGTAGAAAATAAATCGNGAAATGTAGTAGAAAAAATAAAGAGTTAATCATTGCGTTGTTAATAAATAGGAATCTAAGAAGATTTTTTTGTTTGTTTTTTAATGTTTTAAATTTTAAATGGATTGCTTTCTTTTTCAGCTACGGTAGCTATGGAACTTCCTTCCGTTTCGTTTAAACAAAAAGAAAGCGTCAGACAATGAGACTTGTAATACACAAGAATCTCCTTTAGAAGTCTGCATTATTCCATGTTTGATGACGTGACGTCAGTTCTAGGCGATCAATCATGACGTCATAATGAATTATCCCTTTATGAGTATCTATAACGAACTGCACTACCATGCGTGTCTAAGCTTTGATTCTCTCTCATTTTTCAATTCTCATTTTTGTTATCATATTCAGAATAAATGCATCAGCTTGTAAGAAGGAGTATGTTTTAATGGTTTTGGCAAAGTCAGATATGTTTTATTCAGCACTTTCTTCTTCTTTTTATTGTTATTTTTTATCAAATTTGCAACCCGATGGTTGGATAAATACATTCTTTGCATCATGCATGTAGTTGAATAAAATCACTAGAGAATAAGAAATGAGGAATATTAAAAGACATATGTGAACAATTTTAAAATAGAATAACATAATACAAGGTTTAAAATGTATAATAAAGGTCTATCAGTCAATTTTGGAACTTGTATATCGCACTATTTAAAAAGTCACTCGTTGGTCGTTTTATTTTAATTTTAGGTCTTTTGAATGTCTACGGTTCCCTTAATGAGTATTTGACAATTTGTTTTGGTTGTAAAAGATAATGTAGTCTTTGATCCGGTTTATTTGATATCCTAATAAACAATTTTTGCATGCATTGAGGCTATTTTACTCAGTAGTTCAAGTTTACTATGTTTACAAGCAGCGTCATATTCAAGATCAGGATAATTTATCTTAAGAGCTTTTTCTTGAGATTTTTCTGCTAGGGTAGTCAATTCATTTGTTAACCCAAAGTGCCAGACAGGGGAAGCATATTCTATAACTGGCCTTATGACAGTCTGGTAAAAGGTTACAAGGTCATCAGTTGTGAGGCCTGCACGCTTCAGTCGTTGTAGAAAATAAATCGAGAGGGTTATTATTTATTACAAAACATTGTGAAGTGAAGCAGACTTTCATGCAGGTAGTTTACTGATCATTATTGCGAATAATACAATGTAGCGTTAACCTTGTATCAAACGACTCACTTCCCACCACGAACATTGTACCTGTAATTTTATCCCTGCGTAATGCACCAAGCTTCTTTATTTCAGTACCAAATTCATATTAAAACGATGATGCTAACCATCTTGTAATGTAGGAATTATCTACAATATTTATCTAAGTTGTGTAAAAGAGAAACCATGTTGGATGTTTTCATACATTGTATAGTTTCCTGGTCAATTGCCCCTGGCCAACTGTAAGAACTGATTTCAATAATTAACTAAATAAATAATTAAATAACTTGTATACACACAGAGCCTTCACATTCATAACTTTACTTTTCTCTTTAAATTGAACACCATTTCAATTCGCACCCGTCTCCATGTTTTACATTACCAATGTAATCAATATACGGAAATAGTCACGGGGCAAATAACATGGAAACTGAGCTGGCGCTCGTTTCAAATAAAATGTTTGCCAAATTTGCATAATATTTAAAACTTTCATCGCCTGAAAATTCAATTTAAAGGGAATATAAGTCTTTTGGTTATTCAGGTTCTTATATTTGCTTTTCACCAACAAGACTACTGTCAATGGTTCACTACAACGGCACAGTTGGAAGCAAGCTGGTTGAAAGAAAATTAAAGTTTGAAACTGAACACTGGTCTTCTGTCTTTCTGCTCGAGCTGGTTCTGTCGAATGAGACCGGGTAACAATGCTATTTTTGCACTGCTCATGTTTTGTTTCCACAATGTTCCATGCATGTGGTTGCGACAGAAAATGTTTGTACATGCAAGAATACGCTTGGCCTCATCAAATAAAAGTTTTATTTGGAAAACAACGGGAAATAATGTGAAGTGTCCGCTGCATTTATCTGTGATACTTACAAACTGTGTTGGGGGTGGCTAATTTTTAGGGGGGGGGGCTTATGTTTACACAAAGACACGGAGGGTATAGGAGCACTCATGTATATTGAACATTTCATATCACAATTTTTGCTGAAAAATATTCAGATAATTTTTTATGTTTTTGCCATCATGATTTCAGCATATCCCTATCACTTCCCAGGGTTTGGGGCAGGCACATAACAAAGACTGAAATTGAATTCGAGGCTTCCGTGCGGAAGGTGCTCAACTGTACATTATTATGTAATCCAGGTGAGCATTTTGGTGAGAGGCGTTCAGCAAGGACCAAGGTCAGTAGAAGATGGAGAAGAAAGCGGCTTTGTGTTACGTTGCAACAATTTCCACGAAATGGTCAAAACCCAGGACTGAAATTGGCATCGATGTGTTGTAAGTACTGTATAGATGGTGGAAGATAACACTGGTTATTTCGCGTTGATGATATTTGCCAAAAATGGTACAATTTGCACGTAAGACATCATGGAGACATTTTCCCTTACTGGTCCGAATTCAAGATGACGTTTAAATAGTTGATTTTCTGTTCTTGTTTTCAGATGGAGTGCATTTGCCAGTAAACAGGTGGCGAGAGGTTTGCTCCAGCTGTGAACGCGTCTTCCGTTTTCAACAATGTGAGACATTTTGGCAGGTAACTACATTAGAAGGTCCAGATTTGATATTAAATATCCAAAATCCACCTCAGTAAATCCCTACATGTCGTGATCATAAATATGTTGTTCTTTTTACTTAGATCTCATAAACTTTGTTTTTACTACCCTCCTGTCATCTATGTAAAAAATTCACTTTATACGTAATACGTGCGCCACTATCTTTTAGTAGCACCACTGACGTGTGATTCTAAAGACAGAATGTTGTCACCAGTGGCGGATTTAGAGGGGGGGGGGTCAGAGGGGTCCTGACACCCCCCCCCCCCCCAGGTTTCTGAAAAAATCACGCTAATATTCCCCTCTTGGAATTAGAATTTTGACAAGCTGATTTAAAGTACCTAGGCCTACTAAGCCATGCCAAATGGGACCGTTCGCCCTCTAAAATCCCCAAAAATTTGGGGGCCCTTTACCGGGCCCTGAACCCCACCACAACCTTCAAATAATCCTGGATTCGCCCCTGGTTGTCACGTTACAGTGTGTACAGGGTGTAAAAGAATAGAAATGATATTGTTTGAAAGTGCATGGTTACATAGCACGTGTCAGCTCAGTTTATAAATTCGTACAATTTGAAAGTTGAAAAGCGGCTTGTTGAATATTACTATCGAAATCGGTTACTATAAAATTAAAAAAAACTGCTTTATTATAACCATAGACATTGTTTTGTAAAAGTGTTTTGCTTTATTTCAGTGACTCAACCGTGCACGAGGAATACGTTCTCCATCAATGACGTCAGACTCGTGTTCCACAGCGGCTGCATCCATGTCAAGATTACATGTCGCATGTCAAAGTTTGTCTGCTAGTAAATTTGCAGGGTTGAAACTTAATATGAAGTGTAATGTTTACTTTGGGTTGTGATTCGGCTGTAGTTATTGTCAAACTATTACAAAGTAGTGTTCAGGAAGAGTACTTTGCTACACGTACATGTAGTAGTGGTTTATTTCCGTGTAGGTGTGGTAACATAAACAACAATGCACATGTAGGATGACCGGTTTTCTTTTTGATAGTAACATTTTTGTGAGGACAAATCTGCAATTTGGCGCTTCTCCGTGAACAATTATTTATTTAAAATTGAATTCTAGTATTAATTTTGGTGATGTTTAGTTTTGGAAAGAAAGAAAACATTCCAACCGTGTAAAATGCATTTTTGGAAGTCTTTGGAAGTTATTGTTATATTGTTATATTGTCAAGTTATATTGTCAAGTACGCGCCATATTTGATCCACGGACTAGATAGACGGTGGTTCAACTGGTTGTGAACTCGGTCTAATGCTTTAGAAAGCGTCTGGAAGTTGCAGTGTGCGTTCAGTTGTTCTTCGGAAGAAAAAAAAAGAGCGAGATGTGCATCCACCAAAAAGTTGATAAATCGCTGTTATTAAGATAATTATGCTTCAGAAATTTCAGCATAATATCAAACTGGCAGAATGCGTCATTAGTATTGCAGAACTGTCCACACGTATTGAAACGATCTTTCTTAAGTTTGAATTTGTTACAGAAAATGTTTTATTTCGGAACATTCTCTTCATTAAGGGGTCTATGTAGGACTGGCATTCGTCAGAAACTTTTACATTCTGAATTTTCGACAAATTCTTGACAAAGTCAAATCAATCATTTTAGCTAATTATTTAGAATAATGAGTGCTCGAAGTCGAAGTTTTTAATACTGCCAATTTCTGCCAATACTCCCAAAATAGAATGTGATACAATTTTAAGAGAAATTTATAGGAAAGTTTTCACAACTAAAAAAACTTTTTTTTTAATTTACTTACATTTAGACTAGCGGATTTTTAGCCAATTTTTTGAAAGTCAACGAAGTTACCTTTTTTTATTCTTAAAATAAATATAAACAATTGTCATTTTTCAATATATAAAAAGTTTATCCAAAAGTGTGTAGATCTGCGCTCTGTTTAAGGTTGGCTTTGTACCTAGTATTTTTTTAGTTTACTCTTTGGTCGAGATCAAAGGGTGATTGAAGAATAATTTCTTATCTGATGTCAGTCCTGCATGTCCTGTTGAGTTATAGTGCTGAGTGTCACTTGATCACTGAACACCGGACACCCTCTTTGGTTTATTAGCATTGTCTTAGTAAATGTGTCTTTTTTCCATTTTTCGTTGCACTTTATTCTTTAAAATGGCTGTGGTTGGAACTAGCTTGTTANCAGCAAATCCCTACCCGCCAATGTGCACATGTCGTGACTATGTTGTTCTTCTTTCTAAGATCTCATAAATGTTGTTTTTACTACCCTCCTGTCATATGTTTATTTCTAAAATTTCACTTTATACGTAATCCGAGGGTCACTATCTTTTTAGTAGCACCACTGACGTTTGATTCTAAAGACACAGAATGTTGTCACGTTACAGTGTGTACACGGTGTAAAAGAATAGAAATTATATTGTTTGAAAGTGCATGATTACATAGAACGTGTCAGCTCAGTATATATATATATATATTCCTCTAATTTAAAAGTTGAAAAGTGGTTTGTTGAATATTACTATAAGAATCGAAATCGGTTGCCGTAAAATTAAAACTTGCTTTATTTAATCAACCCTTAGACATTGATTTGTAAAGGTGGTTTTTGTTTAATTTCAGTGACTCAACCGTGCACGAGAAGATTGGATATGCTCTCCATCAAAGACGTCAGACTCGTGTTCCACAGCGGCTGCATCCATGTCAAGATTACATGTCGCATGTCAGAGTTTGTCCGCTAGTAAATTTGCAGGGTTGAAACTTAATATAAAGTGTAATATTTACTTTGGGTTGTGAATCGGCTGTAGTTATTTTCAAACTATTACAAAGTAGTGTTCATGAAGAGTATTTTGCTACACGTACATAGTGTAGTGGTATATTTCCGTGTAGGTGTGGCAACATAAACAACAAGCACATGTAGGATGACCGGTTTTCTTTTTGATAGTAACATATTTGTGAGGACAAATCTGCAATTTGGCAGTTCTCCGTGAACAATTATTTATTTAAAATTGAATTCTAGTATTTATTTTGGTGATGTTTAGTTTTGGAAAGAAAGAAAACATTCCAACCGTGTAAAATGCATTTTTTGGAAGTCTTTGGAAGTTATTGTTATATTGTCAAGTCGTCAAGTTATATTGTCAAGTACGCGCCATATTTGATCTACGGACTAGATAGACGGTGGTTCAACTGGTTGTGAACTCGGTCTAATGCTTTAGAAAGCGTCTGGAAGTTGCAGTGTGCGTTCAGTTGTTCTTCGGAAGAAAAAAAAAGAGCGAGATGTGCATCCACCAAAAATCAATAAATCGCTGTAATTTGAATAATTATGCTTCAGAAATTGCAGCATTATCAAACTGGCAGAATGTGTCATTAGTATTGCAGAACTGTCCACATGTATTAAAACGATCTTTCTTAAGTTTGAATATGCGATTGTGACGCATATAATATAAACTTCGCGTTTCAATGAGGGTAGGGGTCAAAAGTCACCCTGGTTTAAGAAACGAAACCAAGGAGTTGGAATTTTCCCGAAATTAATGTGCATTTGTTATTGCACGAGAGGTAGGTTACAAAGAAAAATCGTTGTGTTACAGAAAATATTTTATTTCGGAACATTTTCTACATTAATGGGTCTATATAGGACTGACATTCATCAGAAACTTTCACATTCTGAATTTTCGACAAATTCTTGACAAGGTCAAATCAACCAATTTAGCTGTCACAAAGCCGATTTTTTAGAATAATGAGTACTTGATGAGTTTTTAAGACTGTCAGTTTCTGCCAATACTCCCAAAATAGAATGTGATGCAATTTAAAGCGAAATTTATAGCAAGGGATGAAAAACTAAAGAAATATTTTTCGTAAATTTACTTAGATTTTGGCTAGCAGTTATTTAGCCAATTGTTTGAAATTTTTTAATATCCAAAAGTGTTTAGATCAGCGCTCTGTTAAAGGTTGGCATTGTACTTAGTATTTTTGTAGTTTATTCTTTGGTCGAGATGAAAGGGTGATTAAAGAATAACTTCTTATATGTCAGTCCTGCATGTCCTGTTGAATTATAATGCCGAATGTCGCTAGATCACTTAATACCGGAGACCAGTCTTAAGTTTATATTAGCAGTCTTAGTAATAGTGATTTCAAGTAAACTGATATTTACGTATTCTTTTCCGTTTTTTTTTTTTTTTTTTTTTTTTTTTTTTTTTTTTTTGAAATGGCTATGGTTGAAATAAGCTTTTTAGTTGGTCATGTTATGTGACCTTTCTGATTCGCATGCTGTATAAATTTCAGTTTTCGCTCAAAGTTGTGCCATGAAGTACATATTTTTGGAATTAAGAAAATACGTTGATTTTGGACATGACAATATTTATCGATGAACTAAACAACCAGGAATCTTACAATATTTTATTATTTTGACTACCTATTTTTGTTTTGTGAACATCAGCAAGACGACATAGTGTTTGCATGTTGGTACATGTGTCGTGATAGGATGAGGTTATATGCATATTGAATTTTCTATACCGTTAACACCAGTGAATTTATTATCATTATTATTATTTTTTTGTAATCTTTTGGTAAATTTTCCAGTTTGCCTGTAAATTTTGACAAAAACCTATAAATTCTACCTTCTTGTTGGTATTATGTCTATCATAGTATTCCTGAACTCCTTTATAAATTAAGGCTACGTCGGTCAAGTAAAAATTTTCTAATATGCATAGAATCTCGCCGTGTTGTACACTAGTTAGCTACAGAACCATTTTTGTATGTAAAAGCTTAATTTACATGTCATAGTACGTTTTAGTTAGCTACAGAACCATAGTTAGCTACAGAACCATTTTCGTATGTAAAAGCTTAATTTACATGTCATAGTACGTTTTATGAATGCCATTCATGTAGAAGCAAAAGATATTCCAAGTTTTGTAATATTTTTGAAAACAATGCTGTTACTTTTTGTATTAATTTATGCAATAATAAATGTGCTATATTGTTTTATGAGCAAAACAGTAGTTATTTTTCTTAACAACAGAACCACCGACTCCTTGCTATTCTGTGTTCGTAGCACTGTTTTGTAGTAGTTGAAATTGTTTATTTTGGTTTATTTTTGCAAAAGGTAATTTGCTGGGACCCAGCACCGCCAGGAATCGAACCTGCAACCTTCTGTCTGAGAAGNTTATGAACAAAACAGAAGTTATTTTTTTTTAACTACAGAACTATCGACTCCTTGCTATTCTGTGTTCGTAGCACTGTTTTGTAGTAGTTGAAATTGTTTATTTTGGTTTATTTTTGCAAAAGGTAATTTGCTGGGACCCACCAGCGCCAGGAATCGAACCTGTAACCTTCTGTCTGAGAGGCAAGCGCGTTACCTACTCCTCTAACTGTTCCCACCCACCCTCCTCAGGTAGACTTTCTTCTTATAGAAACCAAAGGAATTTTTTTAAAAGTCCTTTGGAAAATACTCAGTGGTATCCAGGTACGCGAGCAGGAAAGTGAACCCAACCCGTGGGTACCAATAAACATGAAAATACTACAACGCACTGAATTATTTTGATATTTCTTTATTAAGACCAACACAAAATTCGATTTCATATATGCATGCATATTGAACCATCTTAAAACATTGATTTGTGAGACTACATTTCTGAAAAATCTTAAGTTTTGAAGTTGGAATATAAAGATATACACAAAGTTATTGATATCTGCATTAGAACTCACACAAAAATGTAACAAATTCAATCTATTTGATTTGACAAAATAAAATTATCAACTAAACTATCCGTGTTTGACCTCATAAATATTAAAGAGAATATTTCAGAATAAAACTTTTTCCTTTAAAAAACAACGCCGGATCTGGTATCCATCCCACCTTTAACATCAGAAAAATCGAGAAGGAAACCCACTCTGGACTAACATTATCAAGTACACATAATGCTACAAATTACCTAGAATTTCACAATTTAACCACATTTAAATGTTCCGGGTCCGACGTTGCTTTTTCTGTTTCTAAACATACGGTATTATAAGAATCATTTCAATAACTAAATACCTACAATTATGAGCAATTCTACAACTCTCGTGCTGTGTTGTGCTATTAACTGAACATGAATGAACCTCACATAGCACATGTAGAGAGTAAACATTTTTGCACCTGCTGATCTATTTATAAAAGTTATTGGTTTTTTTTTTCAAAATTGAGCAGATTTTAAAAAATAGTATCAATAATTCTTTAAACTTTACACGGAATCTAGATTTGTTTAAAAAAACATCACCGTCCCAGTTGCATTTTTACAAAGATCATAGTGTACAAACTACGAGTCTGGACAGCAGACAATTAGAACATTAACAAGCTCAAATTTATGAAATCAAGTATTCTAATCTCTTATCTGAGCATTTAAAGTAAAGACAACTTTAAAGGCACATAGTGAGCGCTGGTCCCGTAAAAGGAAACATTTGATTCCCTAGAAATTTCAACAATAAATCACCAAGGTATCCGATATCCAAAAATAGTTCACAGCAATACGATCCATAAACTCCAAGCAAGTCTCTTTCATAATGAAAATAGAGAATGGTCAATTTCACTCACGACGGGAAAAGTTGAAATTGAGAACTCGAAAGCATGTTTAAATCATAATGGAGTGTAGCATATAACAAGCAGA